TACATCTTTTAAAATGGGGACTTTCTAAAACCACAGAGGCACAAACGCTCTCTGATTGCGTTTTTTGCCAATTTGTTAGCTGTCAGGGATCTGTACTCAGATCATAAATTTGACAGCTTCCCCTCCCCCTTGAATTGTTTCGCATGAAAAGCCTACAATGTTCAAGCCCAAACAGACCTTGGTACACGCCCAACGATTTACAGCTGGAGGTGTGAGCCCAGGGAGGGGAGGGAACCTGGGAAAGCCACTGCCGCAGGTAACAGGAGGCGAGAGCATGGGGCTCCCAGGCTTGATCCCTGTCCTTTTCCTTCCTTGCCTGGTCAGTGCCATCCATGGACCCACCAAGTGTTAGAGCCAGAACACCTAGTCTATTCTCGTCATTTTACAGATGAGAAACAGAGGCCCAGAAACAAAATGAACCTATCCCCCAAGTTGATGGGGGGGGGGGGGCATGGTTGGACCCTGTCTCTGGCCTTTTTCGCGGAACCAGAACTGGTACTATATGGCCTGGGGGCCAGATCCAGCCCAGAGACACTCCCTTCTTTTTTTATTTTTTTGTTGGGTTCTTGCAATGAAGGTACAAATAATAGAAATAAATTTTAAACATCCATATTTCTACTTTCTTTTGAAAAATAAATCAGAAGATATGGCTATACAGGGGCTGCTATTGAGCTCTTAAAACCACCTTCATACAGGGTGTCTGCCCTCTAGTTCTATTTTCCCTCCGTGCCCTCTCCCCTGTGTGACTCACTTCATTCATTTCCTGCTTGGCCCAAGAAGGCATTTGAATTCGTAATCCCTGCCCTGCCCGGCACCATTCTTCTTGATTTGTGGTGTAAATCCAAAGCCAAATAAATAAGTCTTAGGCTATTTTGGCTACATGATAATGGAACTTAAAGTATGCAAAAAAAGAAAAAAAGGGCTGGGACCAGTCATAATTCATCTTTGGAGTGGGTGCCACACCGTCTCCGACCACAGGAGGACTTTTCCTCCAGCCTGCCCACTGCCTGGAGTACCTCACAGTACTCATTTTTTTTGACTTTAAGGAATACATGTGGCTTCTACCCACTAGATGCCAGTAGCACCTTCCCAAGTGTGACAACCAAAAATGCCTGTAGACATGGCGTAATATCCCCTGGGAGAGAAGTTCACTGCCAGTTGAGAACCATTCATCTACAACTTTGAGTTCTTACTTAACCATTTGTACACCATAACTGTCTATAGACGCAAGCGGCAGAACTTTTTTAATTAAATTCAAAATATTGTGGCAGTTAACTGGTTAATGTGTATGTTAGGTTCCAATTCCTGCCCTTGTGGGGTTGTTGGGAGAATGAAATGAATAATGGATGTACAAATGCTGTGTAAATCACACGTGCCATGTGTGTGTACAGTTTGGTTGCCATCAGTCACAACAGACTATGAACAGTCAAACCTTCCAAGATGGATACTGGGGATGGTAAACAGGGTTGGAAGCTATAAGGAGTTTGACATGGTGAACTAATGAAGGATGACATCAGAATAGATTGTCCAGGGTGTGGATGGTATGTAGTCTTAACCTCTGAAGCTGAAGTCAGTGTCTTCTTCCTCACACACATTCCTGGTACAGAACTATCATACTAAAAAACTACCCCATGGCTCTCCATTATCTGCCAGGAATTCAGTGGCTTCCATTCAAATCCTGACCCTGACCTCGTCTGGGTTTTATGTTCCCCACCCTGTCCTGCATGGGCGTCTGCACCACATGAGGCATCTTCTCTGGCCTCCAGCATTTGCAGGTGCTCTTCCCTTGGTTTGCATCTCTGTTCTCAGCCCTCACTTTCTTTCTTTTTTTAATATGTTTTCATTAATTTCAGAGTGAGGAAGGGAAAGGGAGAGATAGAAACATCAACGACGAGAGAGAATCATTGATCTGCTGCCTCCTAAAAGCTCCCAACTGGGGATCAATCCTGTAACAGGGGGGAGTGTGGGGGGGTGCCCTGACCAGTTATTGAACTGTGACCCCCTGGTTCATGGGTCAATGCTCAATCACTTGGCAACACTGCTGGGCTCGGCCCTCACTTTCTGCCTGTAGTTTCCTCCTTCACAGCTCAACTCTTTGAAAGCCCTGCTGGCTCCCCACAGACAGATGTTCGGGTCACTTCCTTCTTTGCTCCCCTGAGTTGTGTTTACATCTCTATTAGAGCACGTGCCATGGTCTGCTTTGGATGACTGGGTTCATCTGTCTTTCTCTTCTACCACATTCACCTGCCTTGAGGTGGACTGTGCATCTGATTCCTTTCCATATCCCCCAGCACCTGACACCCTGTTGGATACAGAATATGTTCTCCACCAATATTTGAAGAGAATTCTGAAGGCAAACAGTTGAACCTAAATGTACTTAAACCTAGATGCCCAGACTTGAAATGTATAACCTCCATGTTTATTAAATCACTAGAGGCCAGGTGCATGACATTCGTGCACTGGGTGGGGGGTGGGGGGGGCGGAGAGGAGGGGTCCCTCAGCCCAGCCTGCACCCTTTTGCAGTCCGGGAGCCCTTGGAGGATATCTGACAGATGGCTTAGGCCTGCTCCCCTTAGTGCTGCTACAGAGGCGGGAGAGGCTCCCACCACCATTGATGTGCTTGCCAGCCATCAGCCTGATTTCTAGCTGAGCAGTGCTCCCCCTGTGGGAGTGTGGGACTGCACTGACCACCAGGGGGCAGCTTCTGTGTTGAGTGTCTGCCCCCTGGTGGTCAGTACACATCATAGCGACTGGTCGTTCCGCTGTTTGGTCAATTTGCATATTACCATTTTATTATATAGGATTGAACAACTCTATATACTTAATAGGCCAAGGGGAGTCATTGTCCATATTTGAACAAAGCAATAACGAAGAGCTATATTTTAGGAAAACCCATCTGACTGCATGATTTATAATGATTGAAGAAAATGCATGGTTTTGACTCCTTTAAGCCCCTCTCCTCCAAAGTAAGCAAAACAAGTCTTGCCTCTTCCAGGTGGGTGTTGAGGTTTTGCTAATTAATTCTTGTAAAGGGCTTCAAGATCTTCCTCTGAAAGGTGACAGAGAAGTGTGAAGCTTCCAGTGACAGCCTAATTATTATTATTACCAGGCATAAAGCTCAGAGATCTTAAAAGATTCCCCAGGTACCATTCAAAATAGTAAGAGACAAAAAAAATGCAAACGGAGAAATTATATTTTAAGCCAGAATCACTGCATCGCAGACGTCTAATGTCAGCGGGGACTTTAGAGGGAATCTTTCCTGATCTCTTCTCTCACCTTCCCAAGCTGAGGTTCACATACCTTTAGAATCTTCCTGCCGAGTGCTGTCTGCATTAAAACCTAAGGGTTAAGAGCTTGGGCCTGACTGCAGAGTTTCCTGTGTTCAAATCCCCAATCTCTTCCTTGTTTGTAATGGAATATCGGGTGAATTTTAGACCTCAGTTTCTTGAACTATAAAATGGGGATTAGATGACCTACCACAAGTGTCATTGCACAAGTACATGATGCAAACACTTTGCTTGGCATGGAACCTGGCACATGGTAAATAAATAAACATTAGCTCTAAAAATCACCTGAGCTAATTAATCTATGTGAGAGTGCATGGGAAATTACAAAGCATCTGACGTCTAAGTTGCTCCTATTTTAGGGGCTCCATTGAACACAGTCAGATACTTCTTGCAAATCCCAGCCCTCCTAACTGTCCTGCAAGTGTAGGAGAGTGCGCACGGTCGGTGAGGGAAGTAGGGAGTTTTGGATGGTCAAGTGACAAAGCAAAATTGGGTCTGTTCTCCCTCTTTCTAACAGAGGAAAGATGAGCTTTCCTTTCCAAGACTATCATTTATCAGGTGGGATTCTGACCAGGGCAGTGAGTGGGCCCACTGGTAATGCCCAGAACATTCAAGTTCATAGGTTAGACCATATATGTGTTGGTCCTGAGCATCTAGACTCCATCTTAGTAGGTCCATGTCTTTATGATTGAATCCCTGAAGCCTCACTTTTTTTCATCTGTAAAATCGGGGCTGTGGCCATGTCACAGGTGTGAGGAGAGAGCAGGATAACATTGTGAAGTTGCTTCAGAAACTGTAAAGTGCTGTGACTGGTAGTGACAGCCACTCTGGAACCCACACTTTCCCTGACCACAGTTGTTCCCCCCACAGGTTAGTTATTTCAGCGAAAGCCCCTGTCCAGGAGGCTCTATGGAGCTCCAGTTTACAGGAGAATGGCCAGCATCCAGAGGTAACTGTAAGAAGTCTGACTCCTCTCACTCCAATCTCTGCAAAATGACTCATGTAATTGCTCTGGGCAAGTATCCTTTGCCGTCATGTACACCCACACATTCTGATGCCATAGTCTCCTGTGGAATGCAGGGGAAGCGGGGAAGGGGGCCCATTTTCAATGCCTATGGTTTAGGGACCACCAATTCCACCCGTAAAGGCTCACAGGGACTGCACAATGTCCAAGCAAAGGCACCTGCCAATCATCCCAGACCCTCAGGTTTGTCTTACTGTCACTCCTCCCATTAGGGAGGGAAGGGTTTTTTTCTCCTCTAAAGCTCCTAGGGGGGATTTCTAGGGTCTTCCCCTCAGGAGTTAGTTGTAGAAATAATTGGGCCAGTGGAGTGCAGGAGATATATCCAGCACAGCCCGAGCGCTCCTAGAAAAGTGACCTAGATCAAGCAGCCTGTGGATGGAGGACTATTGCGGGGGACCCCCTGCCACCTACTGACTTACAGCTGAACCCACATTCCCAGGAGCATATGCCAGGCTGGGGATTGGGGGAGGGGGCAGAAAGCTGAGGAAGGCAAGGGGGCGGGTGAAGGGGCCGGTGGCTTTGTCCCTTTCGGGACCCAGCTCCTTGTATCACACTCCCTCACCCACCCTCCCACCCATCCGCCTGGCACCCTGGAAGGAGGACGAGGTGAGGAAGGGAGGCAGGGAGTGACAGGGAGAGAGGGCAGCTGTGGAACTCTGAGCTGGCTGGTGGGTTTGAGCACACAGCTTGCTGCCTGTGTGAGTGTGAGGGGGAGAGCGAGAGCAAGGGAGGGAGAGAGAGGCAGGCTGCGAGAGGAGAGGAAAGGAGAGGAGAGGAGGAGAGGAGAGGGAGGAGAGGGGAGCAAGCGCTCCAGCTAGCATGAGGACGGCTTCTCTTTTCCGTGCTCAGTTAATCTGACTGTCAGTTGGTGTTAACGCTGCAGTTTAAGTGCTCGGATTCCAAGGGAAACACACACCTCGCGGAAGGAAGGAAGGAAGGAAGGAAGGAAGCAAGGAAGGAAGGAACTGCAGGAGGAAAAGAACAGGCAGAACAGAGAGAGGAATACAGGGAAGGGGGGAAACACCAAATCTATGATTGGACCTGGGCTTCTTTTTCGCCAATGCAAAAAGGAATATGCAGCACATTTTTGCCTTCTTCTGCACCGGTTTCCTAGGCGCGGTAGTAGGTGCCAATTTCCCCAACAATATCCAGATCGGTGAGTGAGAGGGGCAGCCTGGGGAGGGACTTTCTGGGGTCTGGCAAGGTTTTTTCTGAGGTGGGGGGTGTCTATGTCTCCCCACCCCCACTAAGGACTGTGCTTGGCTAGTGAACGCTGTGCTGCGGTGATGGGAGAAGGACTTGGGCCACAGCATGGGGAGGGGGCTCCTCTTGATCAGATGAGGAGCAGAGGGGAAGTGTGTGTGTGTGCGCGCGCGCGCGCGCATGCACACACACACACACAAACACAGTCCCCACACACTCTTACACTCCAGGCATGAGCATATGAAATGGAGGAATAAAAATAATCAGGCTTTAGCAAGGAAAGAAATGGTGGGTGTTTAAGGAGTTAAGTCCGTTGCTTGGTAGATGGTGCCTGATTTCGTTTACTTATATAAATACCTGTGGTGTCTCATGTGTGTGATTATGTATTAAGTAGCCACATAGACACTTAATTGAGAGTGGCAGTGATTTCTTAGCTGGAGGAGGTCTCTTTAAAGAGACCCTCTAAAATAAGGAGCGAAGGGTTTATTGCAGCCATTGAAATAATGCCAAAAGCACCCCCTCCAAGTCAGGGGGGCTCCCCTCCTGCTCTGGACTCTTCCAGCTGCCTGCTCTCTGCTATCTGCCATGCCGGGCTGGTGGTCCCCTCTCCTGGGATCCTGGAACTTCCTAGTCTGCCTTTTCTCTGCTCCTTCAATGGCTCCCTCCTCTTCGATTTTCTGTGCACAGGCATTTACACACAAATGCACACATTTACACATGCTCCTCTCCCCTCCTCCGAGCTTCCCACAGCCCTGGGTTCTATCCTCTCAACTTGGAGCTGGTTGCCACAGGCTGCTTGTCTTTTTGTTCCCTGTTTCCCCTTCCTGGTTGTTGTGCTTCTAAGAAGACCCCCACCCTCCTTGTATTTATGGGGCAGCCAACCTACACTGCTTCTCCTGATAATAATGGGTGAAAGCAAAACAAACAGGAACTGTTACACCAATTACAACGCGTGTCCACAAGGGCCCGGGATTCAGTGTGACCGGCATCTCAGGGCTGATTGTGAGGAGGAATCAAGCAAGCTGCTCTGCTTGGAAGCGTCTTGGCTGGTTTGGATTCTGTTTTCTCTCCCCTGCCAGGGACCTAGCTCCGTTAGGGAAAGTTCCCATTACCGATCGCTTGTGCTTTGTGTGTGTGTTTGTGGGGGGCTGTGGTGCGGCTGGTATTTTGTTGGACACGCAGCATGTGCTGCAGTATCAGCCACTTTTGGCCACCCCAGCAGGCTGGCTCCGAGGGCGGTTGGAATTGCCACGGAGTACCTTGCTTTGTTTCCTGACACCTGTTAAGCTCCATCCTGAACTGTGTCTGTGTACCTGTGTTTGTGCCTTACACGCAAAACAAAACTTCCTGCCTCCCAGGAGGCACTTCCCTGCAGCCCAGCCTGTAGCTGCCTGCCTCCCCACCCCCACCCCCTCTCTTTCATTCACTGCAGGGGTGGAGGAAGGGAACTGGGAAGTGTTTTGGGGTGTGGTCATCTTGGGGGTGAGGGGAGAGCAACAGAATCCAGAAGGAGTTTGTTGTTTTTCCTCTTTAAAATGGAGCCTATGAATAGGTGTAAATCACTTGCTTTTAGGTGTAGCATTGCTTATGTTGGTACTTATGTATTGCCCATACCTTGCTAATTGGAAATATTTGTCTTCAGATATGTGAACTTCTTTCTCAGAGTGTATTGGTGTATTTTGCCATGGGATTAACGCAGGGGGGTGTACATGGTATGTTTGCCCATGTGTCTCTGAAGAGTTTTCACCATATTTAGCTCCCACCTGCTGTTCAAATGATACAACCATTGTTCCGTTTTCAAATAAAGGGCTGAAACATTAAATTGTAGAGCAAATGCTGAAAATATCACTGCTAGCAGGTAGTACTTGATTTTCTGATCTTTATGAAAAGCCTTACCATCTATTTATTGGTTCGGAAACCAAACACGTCTCCCCTGTATAAGAGGTTAGAAGTGCCTGGCATCAGGACTATGATTCCTCTGGGCTCTGCGATAAACTTCTGTGTAAACATTCATTGTAGTGCAGCCTCTGGAAATAGTTCATGCTCACTCACAAGAATGTATTTTAATTCGTTTACATGCCCACAGTAAATACAAAGGCAAGCCATGTACTCTTGTTTCTTGGACTGGAGCTCCAACAGGCACCTTTGTTGTTCTTTTTAACTAGAATAGAACATTCATATTCTCTGGATATTCTAAGCCCCCAGCTGTTGGAAGGCCAAGGTTCTATCATGCAAATGCACACCAGGGCAATTCCTTATGTAACAAGTCATTCCTAGGTAGCTGGGATGTGAGTGTGAAAGAACCAAAACACTGTTTGCATAAAATCAAGAGTTTTCAGAGGAGATGAATAATAAACCTTCAAGGCCAGTTAAATCACATGAAGGTCTTGGCAGGTCCAAGGCCAAAAGTGTCAAACCAAATGGGTATAATGCGGGAGAAGCCCCTGAGGCCCCAGAATTAGGACTCACTGTGCCACATTTATTAGTACTACCCCTGTAAGGCTCTGTGGTGAGAAATGGGTTCGATAGAGGACAAAGTTAGACACAACAAGGGCTTATGTGCATATAAGAGCAAAGGCCACCTAGGTGGTTGGCACAGGGAGGAGGAAGAGAAATGTCAGAGTTCTCCTGTTTTCTCTGACCTCAGCTGAGTTGAGGGGTGAACAATCCAATGTTTGGGGAGAGTGACTGGTGTGTTAGAGGCCCTTGTCCCATGAAAGGCATCTACAAAAGTGTAAGCCTCAGTGTCCAATTACCTCTATTTGAACTCTCAGTCCCACCACTAAAGGCTACAACTAGTGAGTTTGGCAGCGGGAGAAGAAAGGGGTCCTTCTGAGGAGGAATCAAATCTGTTTCTAGCTCAGAAACCATGTTGCATTTTCTTTCCTCATAGGGGGATTATTTCCAAACCAGCAGTCGCAGGAACATGCCGCTTTTAGATTTGCTTTGTCGCAACTCACAGAGCCCCCGAAGCTCCTCCCCCAGATTGATATTGTGAACATCAGTGACAGCTTTGAGATGACCTATAGATGTAAGTAATTGCTTCTATTTCTGAGATTTTTTTTCTGCGATCGACCAATGAGAAGAGGGGCTGTGGGTAGGTGATGGTGTTGCAAACATGACTTGAGTTGTCATTTGTCTTCATAAGAGGAAGCCCTCCAAGAAAAATGTCTAGAGCCTTTTGAGTGATTCCATCAGTTGGCATTTTAGATCTTGCAATGCCTCATAGAATGGGTTCACTTTTTCATTGTCAGCTAACTTTAAATGCCAGCATGATGGGTACTTGGGTTGACTGCATTTTCTCTACCTCGCAGCTGAAAGAGTTTTCGTACTTAGGAAACTTCTGAGAGACATTGAATTAAAGAGTTTGACTTGGAGAATGTGGTCTAAAATGCTTAAGCCTTGCACTAGCTGGTTTGGCTCAATGGATAGAGCGTTGGCCTGCGGACTGAGGGGTCCCGGGTTCAATTCCGGCCAAGGGCACATGCCTGGGTTGTGGGCTCGATCCCCAGTGGGGAGCCAGAAGGCAGCCAATCAATGATTCTCATCATTGATGTTTTTCTCTCCCCCTCTCCTTTCCTCTCTAACATCAATAAAATATATTTAAAAATATAAAAATAAATGTGTAAGCCTTTTCCTGTCTGCAAATTAAAAGGAGAAAATGTTCCTGTAGCTTGATTTTAAAAAAAGGCTATATGAGAAGTTGTATATCTGGTTTTCCATTTTGGGAAATGACCAATAATTGCTTAAAGATCAGTGCCTTGATTATTTCTAAAATGCTTTGAAGTGATTGATTGCTTAAGACACATTTTGCAGGGCAGACTTTGAGCATAACGCAGAACAGAGGTGACCTCAAGAAGGAGAAGGGGGAAATAAAGTTCTGACATCTGAATTGAAAGTCTTATAAAATATGGGCAACAAACACTATCCTGCATTTTCCTGACAACTAGGACTGAAAAGGAAATTGTATGGTCACATGATTGCCATTTTATGACAGATGAAAGCATAAAAATTAATCAGTAGAGACATATTCCCTCCAGGGATTAAGCTCATGTAGGATATTAAGCTCATGGCATGGAAGTGTGAGCTGAATGGGCAAGAACTACTTAAGATTCGAAACTGGTTTAAATTGGCACCATAGGTTTTGTGTGCCACCGTGGGCTCAGTGACTTCTGCTGAGCTGTGGATGTTAGAAGTCAAACAGACCATATTTCCTTCATCTCTTTATTGAACTGAACATGCCTGCAGGCTCAAGGTGAGAATACAGAATTCTTCCTGTCCCTAAGACCAGTTATAGGATAATGTAGATACAAATTCCAAGAATTATAATTTTACCAGGTTCCATTTATTGAGAACATTTGTTTCAGGAACTAAAAGTATTTTATAGATAATGATAGTAACATTCATTCCCATGTATTGAGCATCTACTATGGCCTATGCAATGCATTAATTGCTTTTCATGTGTCAGCTCATTTAATCCTCACAAGAGCCCTGCAGAGCACTGTTATCTTTTAGAGATGAAGAAACTAAGGTTTCAACAGGTTATATAATGTGCCCAAGATCACCTAGGAAGTAAATGGTGGTCTAGTGACCCTAAAGTCCATGTTCCTGGGTGATAGATACACCAACCAATCCCATGGTAACCTGATCAATTAGACTGAGAATACCCAAGAAGCAAAAGGGAGTTTTCTGGGTGTTGTAAGGCAATGGCCTGATAAAGCACCTAAGAAGAAAACTGTATAGTGCTTCAAATTGCAGCTTTGATTTTGCAGAAGAGTGACCCATTGAATAAATGAAATAGCAATTCTTCATGTTAGTGATGCTGAGATTGAAACTTGTCTATTGTGTTATTTGATACCCTTCAAAAAGAGCTGAAGTTTAATTGTTGAGTTGTAGTTCTGTGAAACCATCTCCCTGGAAAGCTAGAATAATCTTGAGTCGGTATTTGGTTGTCCGATAACCTCTCATTTATTTTGATATGGCTTACAGTAGGGTGTTTGGATAGATTTGGGTGTGTGGATCAATGCATCTAAAAACAACCTGTGATTATGTATAATCTTTTGCATTCGTATGAATATACTAATTTGTTTCCTGAGGAAAAACTCCAAAGCTTTTGTCATACTCCATAGCTTTTGTCATACTTCCTCTCAAAAGGTTCCATTACTCAAGGATTACTTGTTTAGGGAATCAAGAAGAATAAACGGCTGGCACTCATACTACTGAGAACTGTCTACCACACAGCTTGTTGGAAAGAGATGTTAACTGCTGTCCTAGTGTCAAGACGTTGACTGACAGGACAAGATAAGAGAAGACAAAAATAGGAGAAAATGTTCTGAGGCAAAAGGTGGTGCTTCTGTACTGTTATCTTCACAACCTAAGCCTTGATCTCTAATAGGGTTGGTGGCCATTTATTGGGGAGATTGAAATATGAAATATAAACCATTGTGGTTAGTTGAACCTAGAATGAATGGATCTGGGTTCTTGACCTTGATTCCTGCCATGTACCCGTGCAGAGGTTCCTGTGAATTTGGTTATGCTTTCAATGCTTCTTCAATCTGTAATGAACATTAGAAAACCAAAGATGATAAAAGACCCTTGTTCTCAAGTAGCTTACAATCCAGCGAGGGACATTACTGAGGGGGTTGTCTGAGAAGCAATAACGCAATCTTGTGCTTAGATCTTTAATTCTTCCCTTTACCTCTAGGATCAGAGAGGGTACTGGGCAGTTTGGGTAGTAACAGTGGCACTGTCATTCCCAACCTGCCTGGAAGATTCTCTGTTAACTTCCACATGAGGCTGGGGACCATCTGGGCTATGTTCATGCGGTCCATTGGTCTGTGAAAACTGTACATCTGTCCCAATTGGAATTGAATAAAATAATGTCAAAGGGAGGAGAGAGGTTTTAAGGAAGATGCATCAAATTAATCATTTATGGGGGAAAAAGTACATCTTATTCAGATTTAATATCAGGTGCTTTTTGAAATCTGGACCGGTAGTTACTTTAAATTAACTGCCCCAGTTTTACCACCAGAAAATAATCAATACTTTGTATTTTTATAATTTTTGCTGTCATTTGATATTTTCTTGTGCATTTTGCTATTCATTATCCCTCCACCAGAGGGTGGAGAAGGGAAGGGAGAAATATAAGAAGAGCTACACCTACTGAATGTGTTAGTAACAGGGATTAAAAAGAAAGAATGGTAGTTATAGGGTAGGGGACACAGAAGAGGTGGAAGAGGCAAATTGCTAACACCACTGGCCAAAATGAGTTTTGTGTCTTTGCATTCAATCTTTCTTGCTTTCCTAGTATGCCATCATTAAGGAATAGAGTCATCGAATCAGCAACCCAACTACCTTGGGATCTCCTCTGAGTACTCGTCCAAGCCTACAAGGGCAGTGTTGGGAAGATTGTCCATAGAGATGGTAGTTATTGATCATTCAGTTTATCTGGGTGCCTTTATGGTTAAGTATAAATAAAGGGACAGATGAACAACTAATTGGGCTTTCTATTAGCAGTCTAAGGAGCACTGCTGCAACTTAATTCTGACCTTTTCATTCATGTATCCACCCATTCATTCAGCAAATACATGCTATATGCCTACTTTGTGCCAGGCACTGTGCAAGGTGATAGGAACATAATGGTCAATGAAGAAGACACAACCTCTTTCTTTGTGGGGTTACATTTCAGCTCACAGGTCCTCAAATTTTAGTGCCCATAATATTCATCCAGGGAGCTTATTAAAAACAAGATTCAGAGGCAGACTCTGGACTTTCTGAATCAGAATATTCAAGAACTGGCCCTAGGGGGATTCTGCAGTAGTTAGTATGAGCATCCAACTTTGAGAAAGAAACTCTTTAATCTAAAAAGTCTTCTATTCCCTGAGCAAGCATTTCTGAGCTTTTAACGAAGCCCAGGTATGGTGTTAAGCACTAGCAATGCAGACAAAAGGAAGACATGTTCCCTGCCCTGAGGACCTTATTCCCTATAAGGCTGACTGTCCTCTAAAGAGAAAATTAAAATGTAATGCTGTATGTGCTATAGCAGTGATTTGTGGGGAGTGTTAGAGTTGTCTTGAAGAGTAGGGTTGGTTTCTCAGAGAGTGGTAGTGGAACTGAGTTTTAGTGATAAACAGAAGCTCTCCAGGAGGACCAGGTGAGGGGGCTGGAAGGGATGAGGTAAGTGTGTTCCTGGAAGAGGGAATGGCATGTGCAAAGGTAAAGAAGACACATTACCTGTTGCCCCTGCTCTAACCTCCCTCGGCACTTTATTCTAGGCCAGTGGTCGTCAAACCGCGGCTCGCGAGCCACATGCGGCTCTTTGGCCCTTTGAGTGTGGCTCTTCCACAAAATAGCACGTGTGGGCGTGCACACAAAAAAAAAAACAGGGGTCGGCAAACGGTGGCTCGCGAGCCACGTGCGGCTCTTCGGCCCCTTGAGTGTGGCTCTTCCTAAGCCTTAGGAGTACCCTAATTAAGTTAATAACAATGAACCTACCTATATAGTTTAAGTTTAAAAAATTTGGCTCTCAAAAGAAATTTCAATTGTTGTACTGTTGATATTTGGCTCTGTTGACTAATGAGTTTGCCGAACACTGTTCTAGGCCGCTCACTTGCCAGTTATTGAGGACTGCAGAAGGGGTTGCCAAATAGCCATCCACAAGCCAGTTTTAGTACAGTGTTTAAAAAATATGGGATTTCACATAAAAATCTGGGTATCTTAGCTCTCTTTGAAATTTCAAAAAATCTGACAACACAATATAACACGTCTCTTCTGTAGCCCCAACTTGCTAGGATGGAGCAGAAAGTATCCGATCTAGATGGCTTCCTTCCACACCAGCCCTGCACTGCTCTTTTCTTTACCTGCCTGGCTCCCAAAAGCATTGCTTTCTTAAGCCCCAGTTGATTTGTTCTACAAGGTTGCCTGTGTTGTGTGTTTATAGGTCAACTCTACCATCAGAATATGAACTGCTCTCCAAAAAGACCATGTAAATCTTTCATTTGGTGTTGCTGAGAGCACATGTCACAGGGCTAG